CTTTAATATACAAGTTTTTTGATTGTGGTTACTTATCTAATTGGGAACGTTTTGCCACAAACCCATAGTACACCATTCCACCAACTCAGTTTCGGCCTCCAATACATAGTATTTGTTACTTGTTCTAAACATATTTTTACGTTATATTTTATTATTCTAAAATGTAATTAGTCGCCAAACGATGTGTCGGTTTTCTGTTTCATTTGAATACTGTCATTACTTGCAGTGGCAAGCAAACATTACTTCGAAAGTCAACACATCAGTTGGAAGTTAGAACGCGGCCTTGTTTCATTAAAACTACGAGACTGATTGGTACACTTAGTTAGTTTTAATAATTTCTAATGGTGGTCCTATGTTTAAGTAGGAGGCAGATAAACAATTTTTCTCGTAAATTAACTGCAAATTATACTTGTTGTCATCGAGCTGTTGCAGTGTTCAATATAATCACGTGACTTAGCACGTACATATACACATATACATTTATATATATACATTTAATTGAATTAATAACTACTTTTGCACTTTTCGTTATATGCATGCGGTTGATGATATCTTACCTATCCTTCAAGGCTTCTTCTCTGTCACGGTCGCAAACAACCCGATCTTCAGCAGTAACTTTAGCAATCAAATTTCCGAAGAAAATATGGCTCTACACTGTACTAAACAAGTTAGTATTTCGATTAAACTATTTATATACATATATTCTTGATCTCCCTCTGTTCACCAGTTTTTTCGACACACTCGCGTTACCTTACTGGCATTTCTAATGGGTTATTGAATTGGTTAGTGCAATCAAGTAATCTATAAGCCTTAATGGACCAGTTGTAGCCACTTAGACTGTATCACAATATATTCATTTGCTATGCAATATTAGGCTATTCTAAGTTCCATATTTTACTGTTGTCTCCTTCAGCGTGAATCTTTCAATATATCTTCGGATGAAAGTTGTGAATTACGTAAATGGTTTTATGAAGCCAGATCAATGGAGATGTCATGCGTGTGTATAGAGAATGGTTCGACCAAAGCAAACGGAAAGCTGTTACATGGAATGGATGGCTCAATAGCGATTCCTTCGATTTCTGCGACCAACTTTAGGGAAGGTGAGTTAAAAGTGTATAGCTACGTAACACCTTACCTCTTTTATCTGTCGAATCCCATCATATAAGAAAACGAAATGCACGTATCAAGTTTTACTTGTGCAGCAGGCATTTGGATGCACCGTTGAAGTTGTTCAGTAACATAAAACCATTGGCGCTTTAATGTATTCTTTAACTAATACTTGTTACTTTTAGATCAACGTCTCAACCAGGGGGAGTACGGTGAGTGATATTTAAATTTTCTACAATCGGATTATGAGCAGTTACACTGAATAGCTTGCCACACGCACACTGTCTGTTTGTTTTTATCTTGAATGCTCATGGTTAACTACAGATAGGAAATTGCTTCATTGTTTCCAGCGCACCACCTATTTGCACAGATACTGTGTAGAATTAGGGATATGGTTTCCCAAACAAATCACCGCCTATTGTGAATTCTGTTTCTCATGAATTTCTCGTCGGGATGTAACTAACTGATGTATTAGATTCATAAACATACTAACTAATTCTCCGCATTTATTAAAATCCATTAATTTTTAAACCGCATATTTGTGTACTTTGTACTGGAAAAATGGTCCAAATTCTAAGTAATATATTCTCAGTAGTGGCGCGGTTACACAGCTCAGAAGGTTTTGAGCAGACACATTAAAGCATGTGCATTTAAGTTACGCTGACATCCGTTCACTGCAAGGAACTGGTTCCGAACGTCGAAATGCAGCGTAGCTCTTGAGCTGCTTGAGGAATGTTTCGCTAATTGTGTTCATCGAGGAACTCGCTCGTGGAAAAATGTTACCACCTTATATGATACCGACTCTCATTGCGGTACTTTGACTCATAGATTTAAGCCGTGGCTTTATGATTTTGCCTGATCTCATCAGGTAGAGAAAGCGTGTATGCATCAGTTGAACGCCTAGAGCAAGAATGCCCTAAGTTGGGGAGTTCGTCCAGCACGCGCAGTCGGTCAAACCATGCAAATATTGCAGTAGGTGCTTCTCTTTTCGTATCTCCTCCTAATTACCTTGCTTTCGCAGCATTTGAACTGAACATTTGGAAACAATCGGATCCCAAGGAAACCGTGCAAAAGCTTGTGAGTGAAGCTATACAATATGTTAAAAAACTGTTGGGATGAAAGCCTTATCAAATTTACAACTAAAATCCTGCTACTTATGAGTAGTATAACAAGAAAGAGTCGAATAAAATAATCGTAGAACCATACCATCTTTGTCGAGCGTACTTAAAGAAATCAGGTTTATTCTCAATAATGCTTTAGAAATTTGCACCGTTCGACTTGTTCGCGCAAAGTCACAGATATGTTATAACGTAGGAATGCATCGCCTTGATACTTTAGCATGTGTTCCGCCGAATTTATACTTAATGCTATTGTACGTTTTCCAAATTGTTCTCCTTCACCACATGCGAATTCACCGATACGGATGCCCCGTTATCTTACTGCCCGATATCCTATATTCAATACAGTTCAACGATGTCGCCAAAAGGAACGGTGCAGTGGTAACTACGGAATGCTATCGAATACCACGCCGCCTCAATTTATATCGTTGTTCTGCAGTATACATGAACGAGCACAACGTTACTTGGGAATTTCCCGAAAATTGGAGTGGTCCAGCGCGGTTTCTCAAGAACATTGCGTATGATTCGGGCAATAATAACTTTGAAGTTGTTGGAGTGTATTGGCCCAGGCAGTTGCGTAAGTATTTGCTCTTACTTAAATCAATTTGTTGCACCAATGCTAAGCCCAAGTAACATTTAATATATGCTTTCAAAGATTTATTGCCGGTCAAACGTAAATACAGCGAAGAGGGAAAATAAGCCCGTGACACAGCAGATAAATAGTTAACAATTTCTGATTTGAAATCTGCAATCTCCACCTGATGATATCGAAACAGGCAGGAACGCGTCGCGATGGGCAGTGCTTTCGGGAGGGCGAACCCTATTCCATTTTGCTACATTAAATACCGTCCCGGTGATGGAATTGTCAAAGGTATATTGTAATATGAAGCTCTGTTTACATTGAAATTGCGTGCACAATCCATCAACAAACAAGTAATCCAAATTGACCTTGCAGGCACTCGGGCCTTATTCGATAGTCTATGACCACACCAATTTCCAAAGAACATACTAAACGATTGGGTAAAATCACCTCAACGGAGTGTAACAATAGCATACCATCAGACAATTATGAATACAAATGATTTTCCTTCCTCAAAATAATAAACATACAGCGATTAAGTTCCGCATACTTCTTCCTTCGTTTAACAGCGAATGATGCCAACAAGCTGTGTGAGTTGCAATGTTCCAGTTGTTCCCTTAAGTAATATTATTTGATAACTATTGCCGTTGTTTCTAACTCATTCATTTGCATCTTAGGACTGTAGGAACGTGAATATTTCAATGCATGTCTTGAATGATAAGATGCCATATTTAACCACCAACTCCGCATTTAACTAATTCTGTCCTGATGTAATCTCTTGTATATTATGCAGTATGATATCTGACCCATTATTTTTGTTCCCAAGATGCGGACGTGACCATGATAATTACGCAGATATCAACCGACGTCTGCATGCAGCTTTTGGAAGAAGCAAGTCCATGTTTGAATCACTAAAATATAGGATATATTCAACTTGTGTTGCAATACGTTTAGTAAACAAACTACGCGGAATTATTCACTAAAATATATTAAACCTCAAATGTTTACATTCTGATTGTTGGTGGCATAAAAAGTGTATTCTGTTCGAATTGCTAATCTGCTAGGAGTCTTGAAGATTTATTCCGAATTTCAGTTTAGGTATACAACCTGCTTTCTGATAATTGTTAAGCATATGACATCAGTTGCATGTGATTGTAAAGAATTAAGTTAGTTTTGCATATCGAATCGAATTACGTACCTTCTGGACAACTTGCTGTTAATAAATCATAAACGAATTCAATTGATCGGAATCATAGAATGCTTCCCCTTAACTTTCTGTGTGCTCATACTTGGACTCATGGTTTGAGTGCACTGGTTAAAGCAAGTTTGCTTCATACTCGATATGAACGGTTTTTAAAGTGTGTTGAATATGCAGTTGAGTCTACCGATTTGATTTACGAAAGCCTGGTGGACTTTGACTTACATGACGGCTACCGTCTGCTGACCGTGTTGTTTGAACTGCGAAAGATATTTTGCTTAGTGATCTTTTGTACACTAAATACCGTTCCTGACATGTGGTAAAACCGTTGGCTCTCATGGTACAATTTTGGTTTAGATGTGATGTCTATTGGTAACACTTTCAACAATATCATATGCTAATGCTTCCTAACCTGGTGATTAATTCTCATCTGAAATAAACCCAATATTTGAACATGCGGAAATGTGAGGTTCCAGACCGAAAAGTAGCGTAAAGCTGAGTATTTGAAAACATCACTTGGCTGCGTTCAGAAATTTTTAGACGCTTTCCATCTTGTTAGCAAACATTCAACTTTCAAGCATATCGTCACCAGTCAGCTGATGTTCAATACATAACACCAAGTTTAACATAGACTTATTGCTTTCACAAACAGTTTACACAACCTGTGGATAACGAACTACTGGTATTGTTTTACATGTGCGCTGGCCCATGCTCATAAGTTACTCGAAAATAGTAAAAATAATCTGCCCTTAGTTTATACATATCATTGCTGAAAGCAAAATTAACTCATTATAGACCAACCGCTATATGCTGCTTACTTTCATCTATGCAGGCCACAGATATAAGTTTGCAAGTGAGTAATTTATTTGCCACTTTGAATTAAGATTTTCAGCAAAATGGCAAAATTTGTCAAAGGTGATAACTATGTAGCTGTATTCAACATTCGTAGCCTATGTTATCGAAAGCCAAAATTTGTATCTCTGAATAAATTATTCATATGGACACGAAGTATTTCCATCGATCGGTCCACTTAGTACTTGGCTTTTCATTGCAGCCGACGACAAAATGCCATCTGGAATTCCTTGAGGAGGCTGTTCTAAACCGTCCTTACTACATAGCGAGAATAAATTTGCTAACGCTAGTGGAACGGCATGCAACATGGACGCCGACAGTGGAAGCCCTGTGGCTAGCGAACAGGTTAATTTGGCGTGGGTACAGCTGCACTTTTCCTGTACAAATACGGCAAGAGATAGCTACTTATGGTATGCACACACAATAAGTTTCTACTATGTATTCCTGTAAATTATTGCGCACAAGTGATTTTAAAAAGCTGTCAGCATATTTGCAAATGTTTTCTCTTAAATTACATATATGTATTCAAAATGAATAAAATACCACAAGGTACACATACTTTGAAACATTTTGTAACTCAGCTGTATACGGTTAAATTAGTTTGGACAAAACAAATTGGGAAGTCTACTTAAATTATCATATTTAGAGAATTGAGATCGGCGAGTCATTATTGAACTCATTTTCCATAATCAAATTTGAAAAATATAAGCAAGTTGCTACTGCTAGATACGCATTCACATGTCTCGGGAAAAACATTTATATCATCTTACACAATTATGTATATACAATATGCATATGCCTGCTTGTATATAAATATTATGAGATTATTGATGGTGCTACCGATCCAGACGGTATGCACATGCCAAGGATTGCAATGAATAAACGTTTATTCTCTTGGTATTCGCTAATACTGCAAATCCTTCTGCTCCGGCATTAATTGAAACAGTGCCTACTGGTGGCGTGCATCAGCATCTTAAAACACTAAGACATGGTCATGGATAACGACAGCAAAAAAACAGCTGTCTGGCGCTTTTCGGATTATGCAAATGTCTGCATGACATGGAAATTCCTGGTAATACCGGGAGTTATTTCCATGGCAAGCTCATTATTCAACTGGGCAGAGACGTATATACGCCAGAAACTCATATTGCTTTAGGTAATGAAGCAAACTACGTTCTCTTAAATTTGATGCCTTTGTGCATTTAATTTTATAGTCGACAACGATTATATGCGTTCATGTATTTCAAATAATATGGTTATGCAATGCAAAATTCAAGTGTCTAGAAGTGTGCTGTAAAAGAACGAGGTTTGTTTACTGTATTGTCATCCCTCGCCAATTGTGAATAATTAATTAAAACAATTGCATCTGATCAGCACTCCATTGACATTATTTGGACCCGCAACAAGCAATGAATCAATGTGAGTCAAAATACAAGTGATAGCATAGTAAATAAAGTTAGCGTGTCTAAGCTGAGAGAAATTTAATGGAAGATAAAGCAAAGTGCAGGTTTTCCACAGTAAACAACATTTTACCTATTTGCAGGAAGTAGCATTAACAACATTTTTGGAAAATAAGCATTAACCTCGTGCTTTTATCCAACCTACATCTGTCAATTGCGCTCACGGTAAGGTCTATTCGACGCCACCTTTATTATCTGCATCTAGCGGAATACCATAATTTGATCATGCTTTATCAGCACCTAATACTATGTATGAATTGCAAAGTAGAATTATGCCGCTCTGTCTTTGTAATACGCCGAATGTTTTCAGACGCACTGGGTGTGTATAGGAAATGCATCCGGCATACATACTGCCGCACCAGTGGCGAGTATACATGCTTCATGAGACGACAATATTTTAAAAACACAAAAACGAATTGCGGATAACGCGGAGGTGGTTTAATGGTTATACATTACATTGTGAACAACCCAAACTATGTTTACTGCTTGCGGATGAAATCTAGTGCAAGCGAAATACCATAGTCTGTTTCATCAACATCCATTGAATGGTATAACAGCACTAAATTTGCCTAGCTAATTAAACTCATTGCAATGGGAAGGTATTGTTTGAAATCTGGCATCTACTCAGTTACTCACATCTTCCTCGTCAGTCACACCGGTCTCTTGTTAAATCGTTCCCAGGCGAAATCTGTCTTTTCTTCAGTTCACAAGAACACTGGCAAAACGAAGTTAAGCGAGCATATCTAGTCAGGTTGGCACTGTCATTAACCCTGTGTGCTAGGACCGTATATTGGCTTTTTAAGAAACTCATACACCGTTTAGCAACTACTTGGTGGACACATTTGACACTTGTTGAACTGGGATTCATCAACATCCGCCTATGCCGTTTCGCTTCAGTGCCTTCTGAAGCAGCCGCGCAAGGAGAAGACTTCGGTGAGTGAAGCTACAGTATGCTTGACTGAATCTGTTTGCAATTCACCGCACAGCTAATATAATCGACGTTAAGTCAGTCGAAGTAGAAATAATTCCTTCACTATGTTTAATCGCTTGCATACGAGCCGACTGTATAGTGTATAACATTGTGTAGCTGACCATCCGTTATATCTGTTTTGCTCATTTAATTCCCTCTTGCCAGAATTTAGGGTGACCTTCGTAAAGTCAATACTTAGGGAATCACAACCAACGGAGTTGTCTGAAGGGAAATATTGCAACAAAGTACGTGGTTGCAAAGTTTACACACGTTTTTAATATAAAAGCCGATTGGCACCTAGTCGCTTAAATTACTTGTGAATAAAATACTTTATGTTCGATGAAAACGGCTGAGAAGATGGCTCATCTCTCTTTTTCTCTTGCACACATGCAGATCATGGAATTAGCGTCCGGATTTATACAAGTTTGCTACATTTTGGAGCTGCAACAACACCATGGAATAGCTCATATTTTAGTGCGCCGAACAAACGCATCGTTCTGGGAAGTACAATGTCAACTTATGTTTACATTGAATTCACATCACCCACACGGGTGTAGATTCAACGTGGAAGCGAATTCCGTACCCAAACATTATTAAGTAGAAAATCAAGGTAGTTCTTTGAAATTGCATTTGCCTGGACTCAATGAAAAGTCGCAAGACCAAGTTTAATCGTGTACTGTATTTGTAACATGCTGCTTATACACTTGGTAAATGTAAATGTATTCACATAAATGGAGATGTGGTGTTACGTTTTCCTTGACAAATTTTAATGAATACAAGGCCATCACAAACGCCTCCACTTCCATCCGTCAATATACTTCTGCAGTAAAATGCTATTACATCCGTGATACTATTTCACTGAGCGGTTGCAAAAGAAAGTCCTCCTACGTCATTCACCCTTAAATCTTCGGATTTACTCTCACAGAGACTTACGTAATATCATTTGCATTGTCTCCGCGATCTCCTAATACCACTGTTCACTTTTTGGATCTGCCAATCGCGGAGCACGTGCAAGTTATGCTATTGCAAATTCGAAGACAACTGTGCTTGTATCGTATCGGAGAATTTATTTTTTCCGTCGCACATTATCTCATATGGTCTTACTTAAAAAATCTTCGTGAGAGTCACCCGAACATCTTACTACCAATCTTTCTAGTCGATGTACATAGCAATACTCATGAATATGGTCCGCCATTGGAACTGCTTCCGTCGTCATTAGACAGTATTTTCCAAGTCATCATGCTTTGCCTTAGTCCTAAGCTGCATCGCTATCTATCCACTTACGGGTTGGATAGATAACACGCACGTCCACTATTTACCGTGATTGTGAAGCAACTGGCCCCCTTAGCCAAATGCCTCATCAGATTAATTCAACACATTATTAAGCCTTGAATGTTATACTAAAATAATTTCCTCTAGTAACTGCATCCACATCGTTTCAGAACCAACTAACCCAGAGAAGTCACAAGCAACCCTAACGGTGCACTCGCAATGCCATTACCCGGCTGTGGTAATGTATATGTCTGTGAACGCATCAAACCCAGCAAAATCCGGCTCATCCTAGCCGTGTTCTCCTAGTGCCGACTAGCTACCAAATTACTTTCTTCACGACCAGAGAAAGGTAGAGTTCACTTGCGGTTTTTCTATCAAGCTTTTCTCAAACCCGTGAACCCTAACCTCTCGGGATGTGAGAGACAAAAAGCAGCATCCACTTTAAAACTTTACGATGAGGAGACTAGGTAAATGTTCCTCAGTTCCTCATTCATGAAATGCGATGCAGGGAAAATTGCTACGTTTTTCAGGCTGGCAACAGCTACCTATGCGATTTTATTTCCTAAGTTTTCGTCCCATTGATAGAACGTGTCAATGGTTCAATTCAATACAAATCGCACTGCACACAATGTAAATCGCGTGTCGCAAACCCTGCACACGAATGATGCAGAATGACCTATACAATCCTAGAAATAGGTTAATGTTTTGTATCTTTCTAAATTCTACTAACTGAGCCAAACAATTTAAGGAAAGTGGTTTTTCTACCTGATCTCCATGTCAATCGTTTGACGGACGCCCTGTTGATTACAACAATCATGACAAACTTGTTGATCCCGTTATTTGACGTAACTTATAATTTGCGTTTCCAGGACTAATTTCCAACAGCCCCTCTATCGCTACTTATCTAACTATGCCTTATCTCATTCTGAATTATAGTTGGTCAAGTGTTCAGCTTGCTTGTTGAAGGTTCAATGCATCTGTCAGTTACTCCGACTTAAGAATAATTAGGTTCATTAGAGAAGAGTCTCCTGGCCACAACTTACATGATGTTTAGATATTCGGGGCCCATAGTATTGCTCGAAGTTATGTAATACTTCAGTGATTTGGTCAAACAAAGGATTTTCCATTAAGTGTAAAAGATGGATGTCACATTTTTCTGCATAATAATAATTGGTATAATAAATTTACCATAGTTAAACATGTAAATGCCTGGCAAAACCCACATGAGAAACATGAGAGAGAAAGTAAGCGTTTCAGTGCATCCATCGTGCGCTTTACATGTGCACACACTTTTTTTACGCCATGCCGTATTCCGACAACTTGGGTCAAATGGTGTAATTTAGGTGGACCATTGCATTGACAATTCGCGTTTCATTTTCAACCAACGTAAGAGCGACGTCGAAAATCGGAAAAGCGCTTTAGCTACTGGTACGCACAAATGTAGCAGACATTTCGACGGCATATCAAATAGCTGTACTGTATGGCCAGCATCAAATGTCAGTCACCCAGTGAGGTATTGTGGCTGTGTTTCAAAAATTGTCAGGGTGTTGTCTGGATTCTAAAGGTCTGCTCCATTAATACAGGATCATTGCGAAGACAAAGGTCTTGTCTATTGCAAAGTCTTAGTTCCTTCAATTAATGTTGTTACCTGAATTGGAGCTAGCCCTTAGCATTTTGCAGTCTCCCTTCATTGCACAGTTGCAGGAAAAGTTAGCACATTATTCAGTCAGCGTTGACAGACCTGTATGGTATATTATATATGAGGCTTAAAGTCAGCGTTGAGCATTTGCGATAAGGATGCATGCCCAAGCCGCCCAAACGTCCCTAACAAGTGACCCAAAAGTGCACTCCTTTTCTCGCTGCCTTTTCGGCCTCTGTTCAGCAACCGAGATCGTCCTACACTAACAGTCCACTATCACTTGAATCAAAAGTGCGCTGCAGACCAATTACTCCAGCTCGATATAAGTACCTTCTATGGTGTTGCATATGAAGTATTTGGCAAGTTTAAACTCGCTCATGTTAGTAGGGGTTCCATGATAATATTGCATAAGAAAGAAGCGCACAGCAAAAACACGCACAGATATAGAAGCACACAAGCAAATTACGCGCCTGGAAGGATGCGCACAAGGAAGATTGTGTACACGGAAGAACGCGCAGATAGGGTTGCACACGCGGAAAGTTGCACATATTAAAAGTAAACACATTTTAAAAATCTTGTCACATGGTTACACGTGCTCGTATTATCCGATTGTGGCGTTAACATAATCCAAATTTCTATACATCTTTCCAAAACTAGCAACTTGGGACAAATATAACAGTCACACCAAAGCTGTCCGTTAATTCGATGGTTGGGCATGTACAGTACTGTGCAGCGTTTCAGACGAAGCATTGATCGCCCACTGCAGTTAGTCGAGGCCTCAATGAATCGGCGACTGAAACACACTGTGTCAGCAGGCCGAGTTAACGTAGTGTCCTCCTTTGCCATTTTTGCAGAGGCTGAACCCAAAAGCGGCCATACAGTGATATGGAATAAGCTTGGGAAGGACCGGAATCTCCTGATTTCAGCAGATTTTGAAAAAACTCGGTATTGTAGGTAATTATTATTGATATTAATCTTAATCTTAATCTCAAACCTACAAACACAGATTTAGATTCAAAACCTTATGAAATCAATGACAGTTATTTTCACCTGAGCCAAAGCCTCATAGGGGATGTTAGCAACGTGGGTCTCAAGACTTCCTTTGCAATTAATGTCAGCGAAGAAACCCAACTCAAGCCCCTCGCTGCGTTGACCGTTTTCCCGGTGGTTGTTACAAATGGAGTGTTTGATGCTTGCGCCGTACAGTACCAAATGAAGAATCATATAATGCGGTGCTCACACACCTCTCCACGGACGGTTGCAAAGCAATCCAGGGTAACCAGAGTAATTTACTGAATACTCGCATTAGGAATTCACGTTGCACAAAACGATCGACCAGATAGTCTTGCAGTTATTGACCCCGAGACTGGTCTGCGTTACCGGAACAAATGTCCCCCAACACCCCCCTCATACAAGGTTACATCCAGGAGTAATGATTAGACACATTGCTAACATTTGGTCTGGTCTTCTGATTTGCATGTAATCTTCCGCTCCACCACCTAGTTCACGAAGTTACAAAGAATATGACCCAAGGAAAATGTAGGTGATGTTTCAAGTATGCCAGACGTAAGCGAGTTTCTTAGGACACTGGTATGCACTACGTAGCAGACTACTTTCGGAGCTGTGGCTCAAAGTGAAGTACACCAAGCAAACTGCGCACACGGCGCACTGAGTCTCACCTCGTAAGTGGAAAAATCAGACGCCACTGCTCGGTCAGTCTGCGACATTGGCGATCACACCCTATTTGTTAAACACAACGAGTGTTCAGGGACAATATAGGCTTCATGGGACGCGAACTCAGTCCCCAGTATAACTTAGCTGAAACAATCAGTGGCCGACCTCTTGGCGGTGGGTACAGCCTCTCATTCAATTAACACGTCGCTCGACTCATTGCTGATATTACAGGTGTCCTAGGCGCAGGACCTCACCTTTACAACTGAAATTTGGTTGCGCACACACGTTACCAACGACAAAGTGGATACCCATCATTCGCAAACATGGCAAACGGAAATGGACGACTCACAAGTTTTCAGTAAAATAATTCACGCATGTGAATTTGCAACTGCTAATCGACATGTGCCGCTTTTGTTTGGCGCCGTATCTGTGACGATGTCGTTCCTTCATCTAAGAAGTCTCTTGATTCTGTGACGAAAAAAGCTGAACAACGACCAGTTTTCTTTGTTCCTAGCAAACACCCAGGTAAATGCCAAAGCACGTATCACTTAACATCATGGCTTCCATTTGAGTCCAAGTTGAGGGGCAGTATGGAAAGCTATCGAAAAGCTTACGATCCCTTGTGCAGCTGTTTCGTTCGCTGATACTCCCAAATCCATAGTACGCACGAGTCACTAGTACCGTGTAAAAGCGGTTACCCCTTATGTAGGTGCAACGTACGCAAGTCTATTAATTAATGCGCTATTCTGGAATGCGTTTTCATCAATTAAATGATCACTTGAAGCAACGCTTGCTTGCGCAATGCGTGAATGAGTTTATCACTCGTTGTAAAGATTACATATTGTGGGAGACGAAAAAATCTGCAAACGTAGGTTGGAACCTAGGTGTACAGAGTTTGCTCGTGCGACCACAGTTTACCGTTGAGCGCAAATAGCTTAACGCTTGGTTTAACAACGGCCGGAACAACAAGGGCCAAGTTTACAAATTAGTTGATCTTCGCAAATATTTAGGC